CAATGAGTTCGCCACCGCCGCCATGCCCGCCTTCTGGAGCATGTATCCGCCCGAGATGCTGGCCAAAAAGATGTCCGCCGAAGAGCTCCTGTCCATTGCTGCACTGCAAAAGTCCCTGGTGCCCAGTCAGACAAATGCCGAGGGCTGGTCCGAGTTGGCCTTGGCCGTTCATCGTGGCCGTGACCACGGAGTGGCCTCCTATGTCCATGCCCTGGATCTCTGCGAGCATCGCTACGCCGCTCAGAGTGGTGCCAATGTGACCTTCGATACTTTGGCCCAGGCCTCCAACATTCCCGAGGAGTACATCACCAATCTGCGTGACATTTACCAGTGAGTTTTATGGCACTTTTAAAGATCAAACACCATTTTGAGCTGGATCTTATAAATACCGGTTCGTTTCGGTTTTTTGATGCAATTAACTGGAGTTTATTTGTATATTCTTTATACAAAGTTTATTGTTTTATTTAAATTCAAATTTGTTTATTAATTTATTTTGATTTTTTTTAATCTAAATTATTTATTTACAAGTTAAATTTTAATAAGAAAATGTTATGAGCCTTTTGTTTCTTGAGAAACCTCTCTAAAAAATCAACTAAATATTTATTTTACACCCTTTAGAAACGCTGAGGACATTGACCTGTTGGTTGGTGCCCTGCTTGAAGAGCCAGCGGTTGGAGCTCTCTTTGGACCCACTATTAGCTGCCTGCTGACCCTGCAATTCGAGCAACTGAAGCAGACGGATCGTTTCTGGTATGAGAACGAGATTCCGCCCTCATCATTCACCCTGGAGCAGCTGAAGAGCATTCGTCAGACTTCTTTATCTGGTCTGCTCTGTGGCTCCCATCAAGTGAGCACTGCCCAGTCCAAGGCTTTCATTCTGGAGGACAACTACCTGTGAGTAATCTAGAGTTGCACTTTAAAAATCAGAAATTCTAAAACTTAAACTCTCTTTTAGGAACTCAATTTTGGACTGCGACCAGCTGCCCAAGTTCGATCTAAAGCCTTGGCAGGTGAATCCCGAGGATGAGGTGCATGTGGAGCATGTGGAGGTGGAGCCGGCGACCAAGGAAGCCATTGCCGAACTGAGTCCCGAACTGATTGAGGCTGCTGTTGAGCGGGCCAAGCAGGAACTGGAGGAGCGCAAGCGTTTCGAATACGAAGTGTGGCGTACCAGTAAGTGTATAACAATAAATAAGCTACTGAGAATAGCTAAATAGCTAATTTTAAATTTTATTTTTCCTTCACCAGAGGGTGGCATTAGTGCCCGTTCTCCCGATGGCACCGCTGCCTCTTTCAGCAAGGCCAATCTGGCTGCCCTGAACCTGGCCAACTCCTCGCTGATCTTCGAACTGACCTCCAACGAGATCGTGAAGAGCCTGAATCATATAACAAGACGCAAGCGTCAGATCTTCAACCCCAATCAGAATGCCTTCAATCGCAACGAACTGACGGATACCCTGCAAACGGTGGACATAAGTGGACTACTTGGTGGTGCCCCGAAGCCGGAGGACGGATGCCCCGAACCCAACCAGCAGTGCGATACCAACACGCCGTTCCGTACCATGTCGGGCAGGTGCAACAATCTGCGCAATCCCAACTGGGGCAAGTCGCTGACCACATTCTCCCGCCTGCTGCCCGCTCAGTATGAGGACGGGATCTCGGCACCCAGGCTCACTGGCGCGTCTGGCACCCAGTTGCCCAATCCCCGGACCATTTCCACCACCATCCATCCGGATATTTCCAATCTGCACACCCGCTACTCCCTGATGGTGATGCAGTTCGCCCAGTTTGTCGATCACGATCTGACTTTGACGCCGATCCACAAGGGCTTCCATGAGTCCATTCCCAGTTGCCGACCCTGCAACTCCCGCCAGACAGTGCATCCCGAGTGCAATCCCTTCCCCGTGCCCGCTGGGGATTTCTATTACCCCGAGGTGAATGTGACCAGTGGCGAGCGCTTTTGCTTCCCCTCGATGAGATCGCTGCCGGGACAGCAGTCGTTGGGACCGCGTGACCAGATCAATCAGAACACTCACTTCCTGGACGCATCCATGGTCTATGGCGAGACCACGTGTCTGTCGGCGAAGCTGCGAGGATTCTCCGGGCGCATGAACAGCACCCAGGTGCGGGGCAAGGAGCTGCTGCCACTGGGTCCCCATCCCGAATGCAAGTCCCGCAACGGCCTGTGCTTCTATGGCGGCGATGATCGTGCCTCCGAGCAGCCAGGTCTCACTGCCATCCATACCTCCTTCCTGCGCGAACACAACCGGATTGTTGAGGGTCTGCGCGGCGTGAATCCCCACTGGAATGGCGAGCAGCTCTTCCACCATGCCCGCAAAATCGTCAGCGCCCAGGTGCAACATGTCGTCTTCAACGAGTTTCTGCCCCGCATCCTCAGCTGGAATGCCGTCAATCTGTATGGCCTGAAGCTGCTGCCGCAGGGCTACTACAAGGACTACAACCCGTCCTGCTCGCCGATCGTCTTCAATGAGTTTGCCGCCGCCGCCTTCCGCATTGGCCACTCTCTGCTGCGTCCCCACATCCCGCGTCTGAGTGTCCAGCATCAGCCCGTGGAGCCGCCACTGCTGCTGCGCGATGGCTTCTTCCGCATGGATGCCCTGCTGCAGCCCGGAATCATTGACGAAATCCTGCGTGGTCTGGTGGCCACTCCCATGGAGACACTGGATCAGTTCATCACCGGCGAGGTGACCAACCATCTGTTCGAGGATCGCAAGATTCCCTTCTCCGGCATTGATTTGATTGCCCTGAATATTCAGAGAGGTAGGGTTATCACTTTTATAGGTCTATATAATCTCTATAACCTTTAAATTGTTTCTCCTCAGCTCGTGATCATGGCATACCGTCGTACAACAACTACCGTGCCCTTTGCAACCTGAAACGTGCCACCAACTGGAACGATTTGAGCCGTGAGATACCCACCGAGGTGATCAACCGCTTCCAGAAGATCTATGCCAGCGTGGATGACATTGATCTGTTCCCCGGTGCCATGACCGAGCGACCACTTCAGGGCGGTCTGGTTGGACCGACTCTGGCCTGCATCATCGGCATCCAGTTCAGGCAGCTGCGCAAGTGCGATCGCTTCTGGTACGAGAACCAGAATCCGGAGGTCAAGTTCACCGAGGCTCAGCTGGCTGAGATCCGTAAGGTGACGCTGGCCAAGATCGTGTGCGAGAATCTGGAAATCACTGGCGACATGCAGCGTGCTGCCTTTGATTTGCCCAGCAATTTCCTGTGAGTATATATATATACATATATAATCTTTGGCCTTCGCAAGTTTTCTTCCTTTCTTGTTTAATGTAAATTTCTTTATTAATTTTTCTTATTTTTTGTTTTACAGAAACCCACGTGTGCCCTGCGCCTCGATGGCCCAGATTGACCTGAACGCCTGGCGCGAGAATGTCCAGGGCTGTCAGATTGGCAACCGCAATGTCCGTGTGGGCGAGTCCGCCTTCCCATCGCCCTGCACCAGCTGCGTTTGCTCCGCCGAGGGGGTAAGCCATTAAATGTCCTTTAAGGTGAATTATATTCTTAATCGTTGTTTTCCAAACTTTTAGGCCCAGTGTGCCTCGCTGCGCATCACCGACTGCGGCCAGTTGATCCGCCAGTGGCCCAAGGAGGCCATTCTGCGGGACGAGGTGTGCAACTCGCAGTGCGGCATCTATTTGACCGGCCAGCAGGCCAGCGGATTCAATCCGCAACAGCGACAGGGTCAGACCCAGCCACGTGTGACCCGATCCCGCAACCAGAATCTCTTCAAGTTCCCCGACCTTACGCCCTTCATTGCTTCCCTGTAAGACGAAGGAAACGATTCCAGGAGTGAGCAGAAGCGATTAATAATGACGCATTTTGTAAATAACTCTTGCGTTTGTACATAAGTTTCTTTGTTGTTTGCTTACCTAAAGACTTGTCCAATGCATGCAAGCGAGATCTATATACATATACTCGCCAGTTCTGTAAGTCGTAAGATACAAAAACTCTCGGCCCAATCATCAGACATTCGCTACTCGCAGTGTCCTAGTTATATCCTAATTAAAATTACACCTTAACTATTAACAAATTATAATAAACACTTATAGTGAGTGAAATAATTTTCGCTGGTTGTTTGTTCTTAAAAAAAGACTATAACTATTGGTTTAGGTCACTTTTCTAAAAATTAATATAAGCAGTAATATCAGAATACATTATTTCCTTTAAAGAAAAAGGAATCTGCCAAAAATCTAAAATTAGTTTAAATAATATCATTACATTAGATGTTGCTCAAAGGTAAGATTTTATCTTTTCACTTAAACAAATTTTTAAATACGCAATCGCAATGAAACACAGTTTTTAGATATTTTGTTGCTTTATTTAGTTTTGCCTTGTTGAACATGGTCCTTAACAGCAAATATTTTGTGTATTTTCGATAGGTTTCTCTATAATGCCGATAATAAATAACAAAACTCACAAAGTACAATTTAATCTAAAAAAGGATTATATGAATTTATATAGACGCATCTGCAGCATATGCAGGAGCAGTTGGTCCCAGCGGCAGACAGAACGTTTGACGTGCTGATGACCCTGGGACAGATGCTCCCGAGATGGTCTTGGGTTTTGCATATTAGGCCAGCCCTTTGTGGCCATCGAAGTACATATATGTAGATACAAATACATTTCTTATTATCGTATAACATTACAATTATTTAAATTCGAAAAGAGCGCAGAGAAATGGGGAGAAACAAAGCGCTTAGTGTTTGTTTTGTTTTCTGGTTTCGGTTGTATTAAGGTTGGTTATTATAATCTAGGCTCGCGATCGGTTCGGTTTTTGTTTCTGTTACTCGACAGCTAACATCATCACTAAGCGGTTGGTTAATGCTACTAAAGTTTGACTTTTGGTACCCATAGAGATAATTCAACTAACGTTTACAGTAGTTATACAGTGTTATATAATCGTACTCGTCGTATATGTATGTGTTTTTCGGGACATTACAATACTTTTATCCTTGCTGTGTTTTCCATTGAAGATGAGCGTTACTTGCAAGCAAACGACAATTAGAGAATCCACTACTCTGCCATTTTGTTTTTGTTTTTGTTGTTTTTTTGGTACAATTTTTGTTTTGCTTCCTTTGTTGGTTGGTGCTTAAACATCTAGAGAATTTGACTTCTTTGCTTTATCATTTATAATTAACTAACGCTGACGGTACGAACTAAAGTTTAAGTTACAAACACACACAGATCAAAATATACACATACACAAGTATATATACGAATTACATACGTTTATAGGAATCTTTCTATTTAGTTATAGTTTTATTTGTAGGCTATCAAATTGCTGTGCCACAATTTGCTTATGGTATGTGTTAATCCTCACTATCCTTTCCTACTGCACTGCGATACTGTTGCTCAAAGTGGATGTTGTATTTTATATACAAGATGAGAAGTGGTTGCGATTTGGGTGAGATGGATAGAGTTATGTACATATTGAAGATATGCTAGTGTGTTGCAGATCCAGAAAACACTTTTAAAACAGAGTTAAAACCATAATATATATCATAAATATGGTATTAGAGTGTTCCGTTTCTTGGAACACACCAGATTGGGATGTATTTATTTTTCAGCCGCCACAGCGGTGGCCCCATTGCTGTTTGTCTCCGAATGACGTCGCGCCAGGAGATGATGATGATGATGGTGCTGTTGGTAGCTGCCGAAGGGCAAGCCAATACCATTTTGTGGGCCTCCAATGCCATTGGCAAAGGGCAACGGCAAAGGCAGTGGCAGACCATCGAGATTTCCAATTTTGCCCACGATTTTTGGTATCCTATCACTGTCCGTTGCCAGCAAAGGCGTGGTCAGGCTGATTAACCCACTGCCGCCGATGCTGGCACTGCCAATCCCAACGCCATGCTGGCTGTGATTGTGATTGTGATGCGAGTGCGAGTGATGATGATGATGATGATGGTGGTTGTGGCTGTGATTGTGATTGTGACTATGATGATGGCTGTGGTTGTTGATCACGGGCGTGCTTTTGCAGAGAGCAGCTTTTGTTCCATTCCTAGCCCTACTATCCATCTCCAGTTCCTGGGCGCCTCGCAGCGAACTGGTCTTCCTCACCTGCAGACCGCTGCGTGAATGGTCGCAGCTCTTGCAGCGCTGCTTTTGGCTTGACACCTGGTTGGCGGACGGCCTTTGCAATGCACTCAGGTTGGCCGCCACCAGTTTGGCCTGCAGCGTTTTCGAGGGCGACACTGGTGTGCTGTCATCCTCGCCGGTGGGCGGTGGCGTGGACAGGCGACTGGAGGCGGTCGAGGAGCTGGAGCTGGAACTGGAGCTACAGGAGGCCTCCTTCACCTCAGCATCGTGGCCATTCTCCTCGGCAGCCTGCTGATCCACATCATCCGCATCCGCATCCGCATCCGCATCATCATCATCACTGGACTGGGTGCTGGTGGGATGAGAAGCGACGGCAAGGTTCTTATTAGTGGTACTGCTGTTGTGGGCAACGTTGTGGGGGCCATTTACGCTTGCTTGCTCGCACTGGGCATCCGCTGGCACTTCCGCTTCCTGAGCAGCCAACTCATCATCACTCATCGCCTTGCAGTCACCGTTCGATATCACAATTTTCTGTTGCTGCTGCTGCTGCTCCTCTGGCTCCTGATCCTGACTAGTTTTGGTTTTCACCACTTCGGCCAGATCGATCCAATGGCCACGATTATCGCGAACGCCCTCGACAAGAGGCTCCAGCTTGTCGGAGAGGGTGGCAAAGGCCTGAAAAAATGATTATTACTTAACAGGAATCATAGATAAACTGGCAATACAAACCTCATAGATGGGCAAGCAAATGGAATCGATGAAATTCACTTGCATCATGGGCAGTTCATCCTCTTTCTCGCGATTCATGATGTCCTGCAAAAGAAAAATACCCTTTAAAATTGAACATTTTTGTGATATATGTGTAAAACTCACAATAGGAGTTATGTTGAGCTCCTGCTTCTCCATGTCGCCCTGCTCGAAGAACTCCGAGCTTACCAAATCGGCCACACGCTTCTCGATCTCCCACGGCTTCGTGATGGCCGACAAATCACAGACAGTCATGCTCATGGCACGCAACAAGGCGCGCGGCTCCTCGGCCACCCAATGGCTCACCGGCTGGTCCACACTCTCCAAGAAAGGACCTCGTTTTCTGTTCAAAAATACATGAAATTATAAACAAATCCTTAGTGTATAGATTTAAACCAAACTCACTTGAAATACACTGCCAAATCAGTGGACAAAATGGCGTCCTCCAACACCCTTATTACCCGACAGTAATCATCGGAGGACAGATTAGCCAAAATTTGATTACCAGGACTGTTCAAGATCATCAGACACTGATCGAAGTGATGGTGCTCCATGGTGGAGGTTGAGTACAGTTGAGCCAAAGGCGATGAGGCTCTAAAAATACAATAGTCAATGAAAATGTGTTACTTTAAGCTTCAATTTACTTTACTTACTTAATCTGAAAGGAGTTGTTAGTCCCTCGATGGTCGAGATCATGACAAAGACAGCCAATAATAAGCGCCAAGCATTCGATTTCACCAAAGATCTTCCACCATTGCGTGGTCTTCAATGTGCAAATATATATTTATAAATTTAAGATATATACAATGATATTTGTATACTCACAGTTAGAATGGCAAACATCATTTGGGCCACATTGAAGGCATGTCGCCAATTGTGGTAGGTAACATTGCGATAGTTCTTCTTGACGCTCAACAGCCAACGACACAGAACTTCATAGTCAATATGAAAACGTTCCACAAAGTCCAGATCCAAAAACATGCGCAGGCAGGCCTAAAAAAATGAATGAATTAAAATGTTTTCTAATATTTGGTCATAATTCCCTTAATTACCTTCAATGTATCATCATCTTCAAAGTGAATGTCATCGAACTTGAAGTCGTGTAGTCGGAAATGTACTGCTGAAGGTACCCGAAGGCGCTAAAAATAAATTATTTATTTTAAATATTGTTAAGAACATACAACGAACTAAACTTAGCGTAATGACTTTAAAGAGACCTTGAGTAAACATAATTAAAAATTAAATTATTCATTTAAAAGTTATTTTAATCGCACTAAAATGTAATTTAAAAATAAATTTTAACGATTATTTTTAATAAGAACAAGCTCTTGTTAAACTAAACTCATTTAAAAACAATTATCGAAACTCATTGCTGAATTTGTCAATTAACTCATTAAAAAAAGTGTCAAACTTTGAATCGCCAACAATCCTTAAAAATTTGTTCAACTTTAGCCACTGGCCACATTTTTTCCACACCTCCACACCTCTTGGTTTAAGACCAAGACGCCCCCAAGAAAAAGTACACAAAATGAAAATCTGCCACCGGACCTTCATCTGTTTGCTGTCAGCAAATGTAAGTGGCGCTATATTAGCCACCAAAGCTGAGAAGTTTATCAAAATTTCTGACATATTTCCGCCAAGGCACCCACAGCAAGGGTGGGAGGGATAAACCCGCCAAGGAAAAGGAAAAGGAAAAGGGTTTTCCAGCCTGATGCCATAATCGTCTCTCCGCCTCCGTTCGTTGTACGAATAAAGCCTAGTATGGCATAATTTTAATTAAAATTAATAACCCAGCATCTTTGTCTGGCGGGCAACTCGACAGGCGGTCATAATTTTCCCAGCATAATTACAGCGAATGTCCGGCGATGAAGAGCGAGCGTGGCTTGGCATGGTGTCCCACGATTCAGTAGAAAAGTTTCTTTTTGTCATACTTGTGCGAACAAACTAATTACAACTGTCAACACGTTGAAGCTTTTTTTTTTGTCGAGGGGTGGTGGCTTAGAGCGACAGCTTGTTGCTGCTGTTTCTGTCACACACAGAAATAATAAACGAATAAAAACCGTGAGGCTAACACAGCAGACAATGCAACAGGGAAGCACCCAAAGTGGGTCTCCGGCAGGACACATTAATTTATGGCTGTGCATTAAAATTAAGACAGCAAACTAGTGGACGACCTCTTGGCCTCGCTTCCAAATTAAGTGAGTGCAAATAAAATTAAGCATTTCACTGGCCTCCGGACAAACGGACAACGGCAACGGCACCCGGGAGGGCAATTTAATCCGGAACGGAATACGGGAATACGGAATGTAGAGTGCTGAATGGAAATTGAAGAGTGGAGAATGGAGCGGTACTCACCCGCAGCCGATGAGCCTCGTCCATGGTGGCCGATGCGTGGTAACTGAGCACCTCCAGGGTGACACTCTGTTTGGCCATTGCCACAATGGCCTTCTCGTACATGTGCGTGTTGTGGATGCCCATGCCGCAGAAGATGGCGAACGCCTCCACAAAGTTCTCGTCGTTCTTGGTAAAGTCCTGGGGGAGCAGATAAGAGTAGTTTAGAATTGGAAGCAATCTATTTAATCTAATTATGAAAGTTTATGTGTTTATTAATTACATGAATTTATTTTGAATTTAAACGGTTTAGGTCATAGCTAATTAAATACTTAACTCCTCTTTTACATACAAAAAAAGTCTCAATATTTGCAAATTAAATTTACAATTTCGACCACCTTTTCTAAACTAAAGTCTTTGAGTTAAAAAATCAGCTGTTTTTTAACTTAACTTATTTTATTTCAAACTAACATAAAACGTTCAAACGGAATCGAAATTATTTAAAAGAAAATCAATATTTTTAATTTACGTGACTCACATTATATGATCATTTCTATCATCTTTAATGATTTACAGCGCAATGATTTTAATAATAAAAGACTTCAATAATTCCTAGGCTTGACACATTTATATAAAAATCATAAATAACTCTTATAGATGCTATATGTGTTTTAAATTAAAAATAAATGCTTTGAAATGCTTGTAATAATTCTCTCTATTAAATGTTTTGATCAAAAACAACCTCCCCACTTACCAACTCATTGAACTTGTTGATCAGCTGGATGACACCGATGATCTGTCCCAGCGAGTTCTTGATGGCCATGCACAGAATAGAGCGGTGCTTGAAGCAGGAGCTCTCATCCACGCTGGCATCGAAGCGATCGTCCTCGTAGGCATTCGGCACATTCACGGTTTCGCCGGTGGTGGCCACATGTCCGGTGATCCCGATGTTGATGGGAAACCGCGACTCGTAGGGACTGGTGCGCGAGGTGGCCTCTTCCTCACTCAGGTCATTCGCCTCGAAGTCAAAGACCCGCGAGAAGCTGCCCTTGTCCGCCTCGTGAACGAGGAGGATCTGGACCCGCTGGCACTGGATGAGACTCTGCATGTGGGTGAGGATGCGGAAGACCATGTGCTCGATGGTGCTCTGCTCCTCGAAGATCATGCGGGCCAGATCCAGTAGCACTTGGTTCCGCTTGATCTCCAGTTGAGATTTCTCGTACAGCTGCGCGTTTCGCAGTCCAATGCCACAGAACTGCAGATACGAGGCAAAGACCTGCAAGGGATTGCGGCACAGGATTAACATTACTCAAACAGTAAAGTGGCAAAAAATAGAACTTGCAAAATGCCATGAAATTATGAGAGACTCCCACACTGGCGGACGCAGCACACACATCTCGGATAATCCCTGATGGCATTTTGCCTGACATTCTGCTAAGCTTTCTTAACAAGTTTCCCCTTTGTTGAATTATGAATGCAATTTGCCAGGGTGGGTGCAGCTCTTATGTGCGGCTTTATTCGGAACAAAAGAAACCATCAGACACTGCCACGTCATGCGATCTCCACATGGCCCCATGCGCCCGTTTCCGCACCCGTTGGCCCCTCATCGACGGCCTCGTCATCCGGACCACTCACCTTTTCATCGATTTCGGAGAAGCACTCGCCATTCATTTTGTTGATGACCTGCGCCACGCCAATCACATCACCGGATGAATCCTTGATGGGCATGCAGAGCAAGGCCTTCGTCCGATAGCCGGTCAGCGAGTCAATTTCACAATTGAATCGCTCATCCTGCGGGGAAATTAATTTGTGCACAAATTAGTATTTAAATGAGTTTTCGTTGTTAACGTAATCCTTGTGTGTGTAAGCCTTTATAAATTGTTCAGATACTTTCTCATTCTACTTTCACACTTAAACATATTTAAGGACTACCGAAAGATTTTTTCAGTTTTGTCTAACAATTTTTCGTTTGTTTTAAGAGTTACAAAAAATTTAACAATATCCTTCTATTTAGAAAAGGCATTTTAAATGCTTGTCTAGCATTTTTCTCAAAATATATCTGATATTGAGGTTTATTCATCTTCTGTCTTTATAAATCCGTTTTTAAGATTACATTGTTTTAGTTATGTCTTAAATTAATTATTTAACTATATTATAAAATCATATTGAATATTTTCTCGATTAAAAATAAAAATGCGTTTTATTTCGACACAATTTGTTACAAATGTTTGTCTACTTGTCTACTATCTCAAAATAATACAGATAATTAAGTTCAACCAAAGACATGTTCTGTATCAATTTTTTCCCCTCTTGGCCAGGCCATTCTATTTTAGGCCCACTTGGCACACATTCCTCATGATCCGGCTGCCTTTCTCCCCCAAAAATTGGGGTTTATCAGTTTCCAGACGCCTGCGACTGTCGCTGCCGGCTGACATTTGTTTGGCCAGCCTGTTAGCCGAGTCGAAAGTCCACTGGGATCGACTGAAAGATCTGCACCCGAGCGTAACTGGTGTGTCTGACCATAATGCGCCCCATTCGCACCAAAAATCGTCTGGCTTTCGGTGTATTGGGCGCAATTGTATCTGTATCTGTATGCTGGTCGCGCTGTCTGCTACCGGCAAGTGTCAAATTTAGGCCTTCATTAATTGTGCTAACAATCAGGAGATGGAGATCCACATCCACATCCACGGAGCACAAGTACAAGCGATCTGTCTGTGCGTCACGTATTTGTGGGGAGTTTATCTACACTCATTGGCTTAGTATGGCTTAGGAAAACATTTCGAGGAGACGGTGCCGCAATTGTTATCGTTAGCCGACCAGCTTAAAGTCATGGCAAAAACAGAATAAGTATAAAAGCATTGGGACCGCTCCATATCGTGGTGATATAACATGCCTAACACGGCCTTGTCTATTCGTAAGATTAATTACGCTCCAATTGGCAGACAGGCCGAAGAAAAACGGCCGAAAAAATGGGAAAATTTTGTGGCAGTGGGCAGGCGGAAGTTGGGAGAAATGTGAAAAGTGCTGGTGCCACCGAGTTCACTGAGCAATATTGAAAACTTAAAGACCAGCACACACACACACACACACACACACACACATCGTTTTGGTATCTGCCACCATAAATCTTACAATCGAATGAATAATCTCCAACTCTCACAGCTGAGGTTGATTTATGACCCAGTTGGCATTCAAATTTGTCAAATTTATTTCAAGATAGTACTTGTTTTCGGGTACTAACGTACTGACCTGGTAAGCATCTGGTATGTTGACGGGCTCCCCACTTTCGGCCACATGACCGGCGATTCCGGTGCCCCAGGCCACCCGGACTTCGTCCTGCTGCTCCATCTCCTCCACGGTGCTCCGAGGGCACACGTCGAACAGCTTCGAGACGAGGCATCTGCGGCGGAACGAGAAAGATTCCAAAGTTGAAAATTATAAATTGTGTTGCAGGCGGCAACTATCGTCTCTTGTCATCGGACACAATGCAAAATTTTTGCTGCTCCACTGAGAAAAGCAGAGCTGTCATGAATAATCATATTTTTCAACTTTATGTACAATCCTAAACCTGTGAAATTATCTTTAATTTGCAAATAACTAAAAAATATTTATTTAATATGTTAATAAATGTATTATATTATTATTATATTTAACTAATTCAAAACTAAATTGTAAGAAACAACAATATTTCTTATATTTCTAATAAAAAACAGGGTTTCAAGAACTAATTTCTCAGGAAAGAATAAAATAGAATACTCAAAAGTTACAATTCAATTATTTAAAGCACTCTGAAATCAAAGATTGAGTTTCTAGTTCCTAGTTTCATAATAAAGTTTTATGAATCGGTATAATTTATTTTAACTACCTTAACTTTCCTTCATAGAAGTTGAGTTATTGAATCTCATTAAAACCATTTGTTTCTCAGTGCCTTGTCTACTTTTCCTTAGCTTTTTTTTGTTCCTCTCCTTTGGCTTTAAAAAGTTTGTACCCAGCAGTATGCATTTGGCAAATGCGCGTGCAGACAATTGCAATTAGTGTTGGCAGCAAAATGGCGTCAGATGCATACAAAATGGCTGACATGCCCCACCGAGCCCTCTTCAGGTTTTGTGCCAGGGTTATGGCATTTATAAGGGAAGTTTCGTTCAGAGAAGGAGTCGCAGCAACATCCACGCAGCACTCATAAAATGCCAAAAATAAATGCCATAAAAATGTTGCCAAGACAAAGTTGAAGCTGAGCTGGTTTCACTGCGGAGCACTACTATCCACAATGTCCACAAAAATGCAGCCATATGAAGTCATCAACAAATTGTTGAAAATAGTGCACGAGGAGGATAGCTTGGCTGATTGCTATATGCGTTGCACCCATTCCACTTTTGGACTAATGGAATGCTGGTGATTTATGATAAATGTATGTCTTCATTGCAGTTCTATTTTTAAACTATGGCAGAACTAAATAATTCAGAGAGTTCACGCTTTAAGTTCTCCTAGAAAGTTGAATTTGGGAATGTGTTTTTATGGTAAACTTGTCCAACCTACAATTTTAGTTTAAGTATTTGGTATCGAGGCAAGAAAACCAGAATTTACCACCACCAAGCACTGTTTAAATACTTTTCAACTCTTATATCACAAAATAAACAGTTGACCCTTACTTAAATTCCCAGCCAATACTGTATTGATTCTTAATCTCCTACTTTAACATTCACTCACTTTTTGAGGCCATCGGGTCCATTGCATCGTCCTTGCACCAGGAACAGAGATCCTCTATCGGCATTCAGCAATATGGACACATTCTGGAGTATCTTGTGGCACAAAGTGCGCACCTCGAGCTCGTTGCAAATGTCCTTTACCTGGAAGCGATGATAGACAAAGTCCGATTATTTACACGACCGATAAGCTCAAAAAAGCAGTTGCAATTGGAAGAGAAACAGCTATGGGGAAATACAGAGTGTGACTGACGTCTTTGGAGTGTTTGCCGATAACAACGTCAATGAGCCGACAACAAAGCGAAATGCGGCCAACAAACAAACACGTTTGCGGAACTCAACAAATAGTCATTGACGAACTATCGAGATTCGCGTGAACAATCAATTTGATATCTAATGGTTAGACATTCTAGGGAAATTCTACTCATTCGAGTACTCAATCATTACTTAATAATTTATATATAAAGCGGTGTTTCACAAAATTTTTGAATGGGATTTATAACTTATATAAACTCTATAATTTTATGGATTTAGCTAAAAATTCAGATATTTTTTAAAGAGAAAAGTAATCCATTTGAATACAATTATCATTAAACATTTTGAGGGTATACATTTGAATTAAATTAATTTAGGGGCTTAGGTATCAGTCTTAAATTTTGTTTATTTGTTTTTATATCAAATTCTCTATTTCTTGTACTCACCAGTTCGAAAATCAACTCTTTCTCGTCCAGCTGCTTCAGCTCATTGCGTGACAGCCGCTGTGGTCGTTGGAGGCAATGGTAATATTGATATTGATGGCCATTTCCGGCTCCACCGCTGCCCCCCATTCCGGGTGCTCCTCCCGCTCCACCGACGCCACTGGAACTGCCCAAACTGCTGCTGCCGACGGCTCCGCCCGCCTGATAATGACTGTGCTGGCTGTGGTGCAGATGCTGGTGGTTGTGGTGGTGGTGCTGCTGATGGTGATACTGATACTGTCCGGCCACGACGCCGCCGACATTCTGCAGATTGCCGCAGCTGCCGCCCACGCCCCCGTTGTCCATCGGCGGACCAATGCTCAAAAATGTGGGCGTGCCGTCGATAGTATTGACAATCGGTTTTAACAGGCCACCGCGCTCAAATTCGTGAGCGGAGATTTTTCTAAAAAAAAACAAAAATAATTTAAAATGTATCAATAATTAATTAAAACAACATTTTCTATTTTGTGCTTTTGAATTTTATGAGCTTAACAATAAATTTAAATATTTGTTATACATTTTTAAAGACCCTAAGGACTTTAATGACTTTAAGAAAATTACAAAAAATTCTGTTTAGCATAGGAACAGAAAATTGAAAAACCTTTTGGTCTGGCTAGTGAATAATAATATTTACATGAACATTTTCACGATATCCTGTTAAGACACACATTAGGCTTGTAAATAAAGGTGAGACGTGTGTACTTTTCTTTATTTACAAATTGTCTTTAGTTTATAAACGTTTAAATGGATTAACAAACATGAACAGTTTTAGAATATCTATATTGTGTATTACTTTAGAAATTCTTTGTAATAAGCTTTAAGTTGCACATTCGATCTGTTTGCAACCAGACAAACTACTTCCAATAATTAATTGGATTAAACCCCGTTCGATTACTTACCGCACTGGTGTGGTGGCTCCGGATCCGCCCCTCGAGGAGCTCGTCTGTCCGTTGGCGTGGGTGGGTGAGGTGCTGCTGACCACATCGTTGCCCGCCGAGGTGGCATGTGAGACCAGCCAGGCATCCACCGTCTGACGTGTGGCTTTCCTGCGTGAAAAAAGGCGAAAAATTCAGTTAGAAAACACATTAAAATCTTATTAAAAATCGCAAATGAATCGCCGCTGGTCGACCGACGCATTGGGCGCCGCTAGCTATATGCATGTGAGGCATAAAATTGTCTAATAAAAAGCCAAGCTCATAAATATTCAGGCAGCAAGGCTACCCCGCATCAGCTGCTCCTCTTCCTGCTCCTACTTCTGCTTCTGCCCAGCATGTGTCCTTATGGGCACGCGCTTTTGACATAAAACCCTTACCAAACCCCACAAAAACCATCAGACAATCACAGCACACAACTCTTTGGAGAGTCGAGTGAGTGAAAATTAGGAAACGGAGCCGAAATTTTAAATATTCTATCAATATTATATTTTTAAAAACAAAATAAGTAAGTTGAAATGGAAAATATAATTTTAAAATAGATTTTAGATCATTGGCGGACAATTGTTAGCAATAATATTTATATTGCAATTCTGTAAGATAATATCATTTAGTATCATTTAAATTACCAATATATTACCAATATATACCAATATACTAACAAATGTTCTTTAATTAATCAATTTAAAATTTGATAAATATTTCGGTCTTAATACTTATTTTCCGTTTAAGCCTTTTGAAAAAACATAAAACTCTCTTTGAAAGGGCACATTACAGTGGGCAACGAAAGGGGCAACTTAGAGGGAGGAACTGTTTAGGACATGCGGCATATTCTTATGCAAAGTACACACACAAACAGAATGTAGCCTTTTTCAGGCCCGTTTAATGACCGCCCCGCAGGCCAAAAAACCAGTGGAGCTGTGGAGCCAAGGATGGAGCAACGCGGACGTTGGCCTGCTCGACCATGAAAATAAAGCCCAATTTATGCTTTTAGTTGTTAGTGATTTTTATTATGTGTCATAGACAACTGAGGTCCCTTAACCCGCTTTGCTGGCGGCCTGGTTTAGATGTCCTGCTGTGGCAAAGGCAATTTCCGGTTTATAGCGGAAACGAGCTGTCCCCGCCCAGGGCCAAATCCCCTCCAACACAGCACACACACCCATGCCGCACCCATAAATATGGCCGATTGTTTGCCGGGCGACAGGGTCAACTGACAATGCAGTTTCAAATTTAAGAATTTACCCGTTCGATGGGCAAAATAGATTATTGGCTCGATGGGTTCATCGAAAACGCTTGTAGGCAGATGCAATTTATGTCTCTACAAGGATTCGGTTAGTTTTCCGTCTGTCTTGCCTAATCGAAGAGTTATCGATTGGCGAATTATGTTGTTCAAAGCGGAATTAAATATGGTTGGCCTTAAATTTGGCCTTAATTTGGAATAGCTTGTACATTAAATAAATAAATTAAGGGAGTAACATATTGATTGAACTTAGATTGAAAACTTTAAGTCACTATAAATATTAATATAATTTAAGTTGAAATTCTCCATATTATCTCAAATGTAGGTGACAAAAACTCGACTCACCTTATAAAATAATCCTGTACAAATTCCTGATTCTCGTCCAGCCAGGCCTCCATCCGCGCGTGCTCCGGATCGTAGGGTCTGTGGTGCTGTGGCGACGTGGCCTGGTGGTGATAGTGGTGCTGGTACTGGTACTGGTACTGCTGTTGCACCGGATACTGCTGCTGCTGTTGCTGCGGGAAGATGGACGGCGTCTGCAGTCCGCCGCCGCCGGCGGAGGAGGATCCATTGGTTGTGGATGTGGATGTGGTGTGGGCGCTGGAGGAGGAGGAGGAGGGTGGGGCTGGGCCAGAGTGGCTCAGCGGCTGATAGTGGGCGGGGAGTGGCTGCTGCTGGGCGAGGGGCAGGGGGACACCGGCGTGGCGTGTGGCGATGAGCAGCGAGTGCTCGCTGGAACCGTAGCCGCCGTACCCCGTGCCCCCCTGCTCCGCATTCATTCTGCCCGCCGCCTGGAACTGGAGCGGCGTCGTCGCTGGCTCCTCGATGCTCCGCAAATGCAGGCCTGCAACGAGAAAGAAGTAATGGCAAAATTAATACTTAATTCGTTTTGTGCGGAGCTTAAATTTGTTTTTTTTTTTGTACCTCCTCACATGTTCGCCGCTATTTTTTTTACCCTGTGTAATTTGCCCGCTGCATGTGTTGACAGTTTTATGAGCTTTTTACCATCATTCTCTCGCTTGACGAAGCATTTGAAATGCAAATGGGTCATATCCTTTAGAGGAAGTCACACTTGGCACGTGACCATGACCACGCCCCTCTGTACGCCCCCCACAGCTGACATGGCTTTCTTTCTTGCCGCTTTTCCGCTGCTTTCTTTTCAATTTCAGCAATTTGGCTGTGAGAGCAAATCACATAAATTTGTTCAATTGCTTTTTCAGCTCATCAATTTGGTGCTGTCTCTGTCCTTCTTTGAACAATTAAGTGCCAAGGAGTGACTTTTAAGGGAATTCAGTGAGACGCTCACACGCAGATGCCACACATGCACACATGGCATACGCGGCGTATGCGTAACGCAATAAATAACATTGACAGTTGAGGCCCCCCAAAGTGTTTCGGTTACCATTAACCGGAAATATTGGCAATTTCCTTGAAATATTGACTCCGTGTGTGCATGTGAGGGAGTGTCTGGAGCGTCTGTAATGGCAGCATTGAGCGCCTGATTAAGTGCTAAAAATAGATATAAACACGACAACGAGTAACCCACTGATGAGTGTCTCAAGGATGCGAAATAAGTATTTTTCCTCTTCTCCTTCTGTTTTCCCCTTTTCGTTGCTTGTGTCTGACTTATTTATTCTATAGAAAATATGATTTATGGGCAGCTTTTGGACTCACACAAAAGAAATAAACAAACGACTTGTTCCTGTCGCTTGACAATTTGACTGTGGGGCTAAGCTGGCATACAATAAAAGCCAAGGATATTTTTTACCATTAAATACATTAGAGTATTCTATTTTTAGTTGGAGTAAATAAGGAAATATATTGGTTTGCTTTTGTATATAAGTGGAAATTTTTTGAGCTTGCTTATATTTTAGGGCTATTATACAAATAACAATGGAAGTTTATGTATTTATTTTATGTTTTTTTCAATGTACACAGTTCTATTGTGCAATTTATTTATTTTATTATACAAATTTAATAAAAACTGATATATTTTTGATGTCATGCCAGATTTCTCATTGAATTTTCTCCATTATTTAATCAATGAAATTTATAACGAACGAAATTTAATTTGAATTTACTCTATCATACTTTTCCTGCGGCCAATTTCGCGTTGCCATTTAATATTCACTTTAGTATTAATTTCAGCTTTTCCCCCATGAATTGTTTCCCCGAGAATTTCCCTGTGCAGACATAAATTTCCATGCTAAGCAGCTGGAAGGTCTTTCTCTCTCTCGAGTTCTAGACACTTTTCGTTGGTCTTTCGCTTTGAAGCTTGCCAATAAGTTGAAAGTCGGCTACTTAGTGTTGCAGTGGGGAATTTATATAGCAAAGCTAGAGGACTGGCACACACATGCCACCCATGCTATGCGCCCTTTTCCAGAGAGAGGGAATTTAATCTTTTAAGCTGCATTTGCCTTGCACACATCCAACATGCATGCAACATGCTTAAGCTGCTGCAAAACATTTGGCGCAGAGCTGTAGCACTTTTACACTTTCCCCCCCTGAATTCCTTTGGCTATTTCCTGCTCTCGAAGTCATATGACAAGTTGACAGAGAAGTCGTGTGGGAGGTGTTTCCCAGCTTCCCAGTTTCCCCGCCGCCGCCAACACTTTGCTGCGGTTTGATGCGTCAGCTTTATGTAAGACATTCATATGGCCCCTCAACCTACTTTTGCCCCCCAATCTCCTTCCGCCCACCGCTTCTGAGCCAGGCGAATGGCAAATTTTTATACAACATTTGTAATGGAATTTTACTTTTAGCAGGAAAAGGCAAGGATCAAGAGTTGCCTGAGATATGATAGCAAATTTAATACTCTTTGGGGATGACATACGTTTGGTTTTTTATATTTTATACACGTCAAAGTTTAGCCTTGAGCTTTTTGATAATTATACCTGATTTTAAAGTAAATAAGAATAGTCAAGTTAAACACAGAAGAGCGAGAAAATTTAAACTTAAAATATTTCTTAGACTCATTTCTTTAAAAATTTTGGAAACAGATTCAATAAGCATTTTAAAAGACCCCAATTTAAAGAGTATGATGCCGCATACAATACCATATATCTGCATAGACTCGCTTGCATATATGAACCAGTGTGTAAATGGCATTGTTGCTTTTGAGTGCAGCCAAATGCAAATTGAAAGTTGGCAAATGTGCAAAAGAGAACTTTTTTTGCTGCCAGGCGGATCGATGTTGGATAGCTGTAAAGGCGGAAAAGTGGAAAAGCGGAAGTTGAATGGGGAAAAAGGAAAGAGCTTTTGGGTATGAAATAAGCACTGTTGTTCTTTTGGTTCTTTGGTATCTTGGAGTTTTCTTGCTTTGTATGTTCTGAAGTTTGTGTGACAAAATATTTATGCAAATTCGAGACATGACCAAAACTTTTGCCTTTGCCACTCTCTCACCTGTTGTTGCTGGTATTATCTCAGAATGATGCTGAATCTGAGGACTGTTGGTGGGTGTTGCTGGCTGTTGTTGCTGTTGTTGTTGCTGCTGCTGTTGCTGCTGCTGTTGTTGTTGTTGCTTGCTGTTTTTGTTCTTGTTTTTGTAGCGACAACCACGAAATCGACACATACTTGCCGCTTGGCCCATGGGGCCCGCCAGCAATGCGAATGTTAAACCCTCCGTTTTAATGAACTGAATTTTGTCAAACTTGAGCAATTCAGCCGCGTAACGTAAATTGTATTTTTTGGCTGCTGTTGTTGTTGAGGTTGTGGAATCAATTTTGTTGATTTTACTGCCGCCAAACGGCCGCAGGATGTCAGCCAATTGAAATTGTCCAATTTTCGATTATATTGCACACTTTGGTTGCGAACGCTCGTCTCTTTGTTTTCACTCTGTTTCACTTTCATAATAACTTATTTATTTTGTCAATTATTCAGTTAGCGAGAGGATGAAACTTTCATCAGGACCTGTTGGAGTTTTGTTTTGAATAAATATGTTTATGCATGGCCCGAGTACACGTGCTCAACCAAACTTTGCAGACTCAAAGTTTTTGGCCCCAACTATGCCGCAGAGTAACTCGAGAGTTTTCCGACTACCACTTCAGTTTATCTTATTTTCCTGACAGTTTTTAAAGCTCTGCGCTGTCGAGAGAGGCAATTCAATTAACGCTTTTGGGGTCGCCAACAGTCAACTGGCCGAGACAAGGGGAGCGGGGCGTCAGACAGGCCGCCAATTGATGAACAAACAAGACTCCAAAATGTCGCTGGGAATTCGAGCGGGGGTGGGAGAAGAGAGACTGGGGAGCTGCACACGTAGGCCATAGTAAAAAGTCTGTTAAGTAAAATCAACATGACCAAAGCGCCTGCCATCGCTGAAACGTCAACAATACTCAAAAGCCAAAAGCAAACAATGACAAGAAAACGCGTTGAGAGTGGGTATTGAAAAGGATAAATGGATGGGAATGTTCTGAAAGGATTGTTGTGGCTTGCGGTCAAGCAGATTTTAATTGCGAGAAGGTATTAATTAAGTAATTGAAAAGGCTCTTTGGATTTCAATTTAATTTGTTGGCAAAAAGAATTCTTATCCAGGCTTTGGTTGTGATAACAGCAGGTTCTTATAATTCAAAATGTGTGTGAAAAAAAAGTTAAGCAAATTTCAAATATATTGCTTAACAGTACAAACATCTCTATCTTGATATGGAAAGAAGACACTGTGTTTTTTTTTTAATTTGGTACAATATTTTATTGTCCTCAAAGACTCCTTTCAAAGTTTATGTACTTTTTTACACTCCGTAAATCATAAAAACTACACTCCCACAGTCGACTCAACTGCATTGAGCTGACACTGAACTGAGTTTGCTTTTGGCAACCAATCCACTCATAGTCTGCCCCCAATCATCCCACATTTCATCCGCTTTTCCAAATCCTATCCTATCTCGCAGCTCCTCCCACACTTCTCTCTCTCTCTTCACGTTAAACATGTATGTTTGACAATTTTGATATTGAATTTAGTGACTGCAACTTGCCATGAGCATTTGAGCAGATCTCCACCGATTTGGTTTCAATCGTTCACGCAACCTTCGCCACCCTTTCGCTTGACAGCTGTTGCATGACAGGGGCCAGCGAAAGTTGACAGCGGAAATGATTTAATTTGCGTTCTGCAACAATGGAAAATCATCGTTCTGCGTTTGGCAGCTGTGAAGTGAAGGCTTCGCAAGGATTGCGCAGCTTGCAATTGAAACTATGTATATTCTGCTACTGTTCGCACTTGAATAGACAATGAGAATAACTGTGTGTAAATTGCTGACGGGTAAGGTCGCACTTGAGCGTTGATTTTCCTGACACAGCTAAAAGGATATTAACATATACTGGCAAAAAGCATTTGTAAAAGTTTTAATCATCAACTTAATAACAGAAATGCAATCAATTTATATTTGCTGTAAGGTTCATGATAGCCACAAAGCTCACAACAAATCAATCGTAGATGGTTTCCAATAAATTTCATTGTAACTCAGTTCTTATTTAATTTTGTGTTGCTCATAGATTGTTTTTTGCCAGCTTTGATCAATTTAATATGCCTCATTGCTCATACGCGGCGTTGTCTAGCCATTAACCATACGCACCGTTGTAGCTTCTCTTTATTTTTCGCCATCGTTTTTGCATTTCTATCCTTGTACACCTAGCAACTGGTAGCCAAAGGAGAAAGCGGACCAAAAACAAAATGACAAAAACTATTTTTACGCCAACGAGAGCAAGGGAACGAATGGGAAACAAAAAGTACTCTCGCACAGATAGACTTTGGTGGCTTACATTATGTCAATAGCATAGGTAAAGGCATTGTGATCAGAGGGGAAGGCATTGTGGGGGTAAGTCTGGATAAGCAAACGATGTTCATTAATGGCG